GAACTTTGCATAGCAAAGGGTGGAATGATGAATCAGGATAGACCAGCAAATTTGTAAATATCCCAGATGAATTTATAGTGGTTATTTCAGAATCCAGGACATGAAACCAAATCCCCTTCAACCAGTTGAGGGCAATGGAGGTTGCTACCACCCATCCCTTTGGCAGAGTTTTCAGCTCTCACAATGGACCAACTGGCCCTGTAGAAGCTGGGTATACCACTCAGTCTTGGAAGTTCTTGTTTGAATACTCTGGATAATAGCCTGCTTGATTTTGCTACTCAGCAGGCCAGTGGCCACGTAGTGGTGGGACAAGAGGGAATAGCTTTAAACTGAAAGAGAGTAGGTTTAGTTTGGACATTAGGAAGAAATTCTTCCCTGTGAGGGTGGTGAGGCCCTGGCACAGGTTGCCCAGAGAAGCTGTGGCTGCTATCCCTGGAAGCGTTCAAGGTCAGGTTATATGGGCCTTGGAGCAACCTGGGATAGTGGAAGATGTCCCTGCCCATGGTAGAGGTTGGAACTAGATGGGCTTTAAGGTCCCTTCCAACCCTAATCATTCTATGATTAAGTACACCTTCTGGTGAAAGACAGAAATTATGTACTCCTGAGAACCACAAGTTGAGCAAGAATATACAGTCAAAAATATTAGAAATAGCATACATCAATTTTCAGATATTATCTAATTCTGTCACAAAGATGCATATTTCTTTTCCTTAGAAGAAATAACAACCAAACAAAACCATGTCAATTACCTATTTTCCCTCAACTACCCCACAAATTCATATTACTGCAAAAATCTTGCTACTGTGATTTTAATACCTAATCTAAAACCATTCCAACCTTCCTACTCACACATACATCTATTTTTCTGAAGATCATCTTCACATCTTTCTAAATTTCTAAGGGAAGCTTTTGTAGGAAAAAGCTCTTCACAGACAAGAAAGATGCACAAGTACTTTCTATTTACTGCCAGACAAACTTTTATTCAGGACTTCTCCTCCATCGCTACAGACAAAACCTCTCTTTCTACACATGTCAAGGACAGTAAGCAAACCCATGACATATACAATCCATTCCTATCGCACTACTGAGTAATTAAAACCAGTGTGTTGGGGCAAAGAGACAAAGGAGGTTGATAAAGATTGCATTAAGATCTCAAACTTGGCATTTGCTAAATTCTGAAATCTTAGCTTTGCAAACTTAACATCTGTAATGAAATTATATTCAGTAACTGTAATGAAAGATAGCTTGCCCCAACATTTCTGGTAAAATGGCCAAGAATTGGAGTTGTCCAGCAATAGTTTTTGGTTCACTGAAGACAGGCAGAAAACCAGGCAGCCACAGACCAGAAACTCAGCACAAGAAAAACCTTAAAGCTTGTGTATTTTATTATCCGGTAAAAAGAAAAAGAGGTCCAGAGTTGTAATGTAGCTTGCAAAATATATGCACAGTAGCTTTGTCTATGGTACAATTCAGAAAACACCAGCTGCTTTTGTCAGGAGTACAGAAACAAACCATCAACACCTTCAACCTGACAAACACTAAAAATATATATTTAAAGTAAGGATATGATCTCAAGATAGTTGGAGGATATGCAAAGCACTGAAACCCCACAGGCTAAATTTGTTCCTATTGCTCAGTACAAGCAATTTTCCTTAACGTAATGGACAGGTACTTTGCACCAGGAGTGAATTTAAATGCAAGGCTATGATGTATAAAAAAGCCTTTGTTCTACAACAAAGAAGGCATCTGTATCAACAGAATTTACGCAGCTGTACAAATTTTTAATTTGGCCTGATTGCTCTTTGTTATTTGCTGAAATGAAAACTCAATAAATTTACATTCTGCTGCCAGTTTTCTCCCAAAGACTTATTTCTCCCTCTGATAAGAAAGGTTGCGCTGGACAAGTGCTCTCAGTCATACTTACTTAGAATCAATGATCGAACTAAATTACATACTTGTAATTTATAAAGTGGAGCCCCTGGTGGTCTAGTGGTAAAGGCGCGGCGCTGTCACCGTCGAGACCCAGGTTCGATTCCCGGTCAGGGCCACTCCCGGGCAGGTGGGGCTCGTTAGCCCTTAAAGGCAACCCACCTACGTCCTAAGGACCTCGCTGCCACCGTCCAAGCTCGCTTGGCCCCAGCAGATGAACCTTAGGATTAAAGGGTGGGCTCAGTTCTGCGCACACTGTGTCTCACCTAAAACATCCAATGCGCAGGCTGGAAGGTGTAAAGACCTTCCCCGGATCTTCACTCGTGAAGACTGGCCATTATAATTTATAAAGTTCCTGAGGATCTTCTCTGTCTCCCATTGTAACTGTAGCAATACTTAAATAAAAAGGATCCAGTGGATATTTGGTTCTGCCCAGAGCATACTCCATCTTCTCATACATCTTCACTTGTTGAAAGAGGCCATAATAATGTGTTTTATTAATCAATTTATCAAACCACGAAAAAGAACCAGTGCTCTGCTCTCTGCATAGGCATGTAGCAAAATCACTGGCCCTAGAGACTGGCTGAATTGTACCAAAGCTCTCTGCAACCAACACCAATGAACTCATCGTTCTCTGAGAGCTCCAAGTAAATCCACATGGGGAGGGAGTTTCCCTGAATCTGCAAACCATACCCTCATATCGTTCCATTGAACAAGTGAAATACCCTTGGAAAAGAAACCAAAAAGAGAATTCAGCTTTAGCTAAACTTTTAAGTTTTTACAATAAACAACTGGGCTAAGGCTAAAATATCTTTTCACTGTGGTACAGAAGACAACACAGTCTTCCTTTCAATGCCCTCCTCCTTCCCTCTTTGCATTTTTTTGTTTGTATAAGATGTTGCTAATCACAGACTTTTCTAAAATTGCTGATCAGTAACACTATTCAGTCTTGTTAACCTATAACAAAAGCACGGTACAATTATCTGCACTAACAACAGTGTGATATGACTGATCAGCATTTGTCAGATAATTCCATAAAGAGACAGATGAGCATGTGTATGGGGCAGGGAATAAATCAGTGCATAGCTAATTAACAGGACCGAATCCTTGAGTATAAGGTGGCAGATGAAAGAAGGAAATTCATGTAATTGCCTTGCCTATTTAGAAATCTGATGTATTTAGCAGGGGTGCAGCAGTGAAGATTCTAATTGTGGGTGCACAATACAGCCAGAACTCCACTTTCTTTTGTACTGCTGAAACAACGAAATCACATTCTGGTTTAACAAGATACAGTATATGTAACATTGGCTCAGACTTGTATAGCCCAGTTCTCAACAATTTCAGCCCTTGTCTGATGTTTCTATTAAAAATAGTCCAACTCAGCACAACGAACCGTGACCCAAAGGCCACTTGCAGCATGAGAATGTAAATGCATCTTCGCACAGTTCATCAGCTGCTTTTGGTCAGGTACGCTGGTTTCAAAGCTTTTAACAAGTGTGTGTGAACAAAAATGAAACAAAGGAAAAGAACTTCTTTTGTAAAATATCACAGAGAATTAGCTTAAATGAAAACAGAAACCCTCCGTATGAGGAGGAATGCAGTGTAACTCAATGGACTGCTTCATTTGTTTCTGCACAGATTTCCCATGCAACCCCGGGTCTCACACTGTCTTTTCTGCAGTTATTCAACTGCATAAAGCAAACAATGATCCTTTCATAAGCCTTGTGTCTGAACAGTAGAAACTCTTAAAAGCAGTCTGTTACAACTCTCTCCTTAGTGCCCAACATAAAGCGCACTATGAAAAAAATCCCAAACAAAATCACCCTCATGCAAAGGGTGCTAAAATGAAAAAGAAAAAAAAAAAGGACTCTAAACCTTTGCCAGCTCTGGAAGAAGTAATCTCTGCGAGAATTTGAGGATAGATGGGTTTTGACAAGTTATTTAGAAGACTAACTCATAACTGATGCAATACTGTATTAATTTTTCTTGCTACTCTGTAGCAGAGAAAATGCCATAATTACAACAGGTAATCTATGACACATCTTAAAAATTGCCACTAAATCTCTGATTAAGTTACACAGCAACATAAGTGAGGCCTTGATATCACGCTAAAAGCAATTGCAAAACTGATCATTTTCTTCTTCTCTAATTACCTATTTAACAACTGTAAATACCCTGCATGTATTATGTCTACTTGTCACTTAAATATTATCAAAATACACAATTCTTATGTTACATAATAAGAGGTTTGTAACTTGGTTTATAAGTATTACTTTTATGTACCTGTATACTAAAATAGACCTGTTCATAGCTATTTTCAGGATTGACAACACGCAGCAAATCCATAAAGAAAAGCCTCCTAAAATGGCCAAGTATATCAAATTCTTTTAAAAGCTAGATTATTAACAAGTACCGTTATGCCTGAGCCCCATGCCACTGATGGAGAAGCTAGGTCTTCTTCCTAAAGTCAACAAGGTAATTTTAATCTTCAAACAACTAGGCAATTTCGGAGTCAAAGTAACAATTAAGACCGCTTAGGTCTTTGCCCTAATTCTTACTGGTTCCAGAGTCTTACTGGTGTATCAGTGCCCATTTCCTACTCATTTCAGTGGCACACAGTCACATAAATATTTCCATAAAACTGGCTGTAAATACACCTGAAGGTACGTGTCCTCACAGAAATTCCAGAAAACAATTTGCTGAATTTAAGGAGCAAAATAACCCAGTGACAACAAGTTTCTCGTATGTTGAATACAAGCATGCATTAAAAAATAAGTTTTAGTCTTGTAATCTATCTCGAAGTTGTTGAGCTGAGTCCAACACTGACTTCCCACTGAAGCCAATAAATTTGTACTACCTGGCCCACCAAAGTTTCCTCCTGAAAGAGATCATTGCAACTCATTTCTCAGCACTAAAATGCTACTTACATGTCTATATAAATCTTTTAACTATGGAATGCTGTAAAATGACATTTCTGTAGAGTATTTACGTAATATCTGACAACTAATTGCTTCAGTAGTCAGATTTTCCTATTGACTCTAAATAAATAAGTAATGCAAGATAAACATTACCTTGATTTTCTTCCAGCTTTCCAATTGTTTCTATCTGCTCAACAAGGTCATTTGAGTTCCACTGGCTCATTCCTATGAGAATGGCACTTTTCCCTTCCACCATATCTTCTGTAGGAGAAGAAAGGAGAACAGAATAAATTGCTGTGACAAACAACAGAAAAAAGACAGGGTGAGAACTAGTAATTCAGACAGAAATAAACACTCAGCATAGTCCCTAATGGGAACAGATAACAGGGTACCATATGCAGGAGTCTCCGGAAAAGCTTCTTGCCTACTCATATGCTCTACAGCAAATCTATATTCTTCATATTGTGTGCAGGAAAACGATGGAAAAGAGAGGACTGAATTTTTTTTCTTACCTTGAGAAGTCACTTAAAAACAAAGTTTATAATAATCTCTTTGAGTGTTTGAGTGGCTGGTTGGTTTTTTTTCTTTTTTTTTTTTTTAAGAACATTCAAAAGGCAGCGTAGAGGGCAGAGTGGACACACAGACCATTTTATCAAAGCCACCTATGCTACACAAAGCTTTACATATCCATCTAGGGACACAGAGACATAATGGAATCACACCAAGCCCACAGCACAGAGAACCATCTCTTTTATTGGAATCCCATCCTGGGAGTGGGGTAGGAAAAGCTGAAAGCACAAAACACAAACCGTAGTTAGATATTTACCCTCTTTCTTAAAAAACAAACCCAAAACCAAACAGGCCTAGAAGTGGCAGGAAAATATTACACAGCTTCAATTTAACAGCTGTTTCAAAAGAAGGGTGTATTAATCCTTTCTGAATACATTTACTAAAAGCACTGTATACAGCCCAGAATGGTCTTTATACCTAGGGTGAGTGCACAGAAAAAAAAAAATGTAAATAATAACAATTCTTTACTTGTTAATGTAGACTGTGAAATGAGGGAAGGTGAGACTGGGCCATTGAGCTCCTCGACATCAATGCAGAGGAGGAAGCCCTCCTGGCCTTCTTCGTGCTGGTGCCTCCCAAGGGACTTGCCTCACCCAACAGGAAGAGGCTGGGCAGCCTGTCAGGTGGGAGACCGCTGGCTTTGGGGCAAGGATCTGTCCAGTACTGGCTTTAGCACTTAGGAATTGTATCAAGAGGACACTAAAGAACTGCCTCTTGCAGAGAAATAGGACTCCAAAATGGCCTGAGCATTTAGATCTTTTATTTTTTTATTGTTTTCTCTGTTATGTCATTTACCAAGCCAGGCATTCCAGGTGGTCTTACTGTTTAGCAGAAAGATGAAATAAGATTAGAGGTCAGACTGTCTCTCATTTCTGTTAGCTTTCCGAGTTGGAAAGAAAACACTAAATGTGATCTGGAATACAGTGGTACTTAGTTCCTGACACCAGTGCCTAGTGCACTCCAGACCCTGGCTCTATGCCCATTCGGAGGGGAGACTGTTGTGGATCACCTCTAGCCTTCCCATCAGTTTTAGGATCCCTTTTCCTTTCCCAGTTATGTTCCTCACCAACTTTTCTTCCTCTGCTTACAGAACTTATTTCTGAAAGGCTGTTTGTGAGAAAGCAGGGATGATACTAGATTAGGAGGAGCTATGGACTGCCTCAAGGGTAGCAAGCCCTTACAGAGTCATCTGAATTCTCTAGGACAGAGAGCTGGGTGATCACCAGCTGTATGAAATTTAACACAAGTAAATGCTGGATTCTGCACCTGGGATGGGGTAATCCTGGTTATGCATACAAACTGGGGGACAAGAGGCTGAAGAGGAGCCTTGCAGAAAGAGATCTGGGGGTTTGGGTTGATGGCAAATTGAATATGAGTCAACAGGGGGTCCTGGCAACTAAAAGGGCCAAGAGTGTCCTGGGGGGCAATGATTGTCCTGCTCTGCTCTGCACTGGACTAGCCTCACCCCGAGTCTTGTGTGTAGTTTTGGGTGCCATAATACATGAAAGACATAGAGCTACTAGAAAGTGTCCAAAGGAGGACAACTAAGATGGTGAAAGGCCTTGAGGGCAAGATTTACAAGGAATGATTGAGGTCACTTGGTTTGTTCAGTTTGGAGAAGAGAAGGCTGAGGGGAGTTGCACAGTCTGCAACTTCCTCAAGATGAGCCACAGATAGGGAGTTGCTGATATCTCTGTGGTGATCAATGACATGGAGAAATGGAAATCCATCTAAATAAAACTTGATTTGAAGAGCATTTTTGCAAGCTGACTGTAAAGTAACCTAAAATTGAAATATTCATGTCAAATTCAATATGGACTATGTTCAGCAAATTCCAGGTGCAGTTTTTCTTCTAATTAGTCTACGATTCATGCCTCACTGACTCCAAAAACGGAGACATCGAACTGACCTTCAAAGCATTATTGAACAATGATTCAAAAGAATATTCTATCACGCACAGTAAATGATCATACTCACAAAGACAGAACCTAAACACATTTTTTGCATCAAAGAAACTACATCATCTAAAATATTTGAAATATCATCATTTTAATTCTCTTTTTAGACAAAATTTGAAGTATGATCCAGTGCTCAAAGTTACAATTCCAGCTTCACATGGAATTTGGAAACAGTGTTGAAATCCTCAAGAGAGCTGTTTTAAGCACATGGCAGGAGATCATTGAAAAGCACAAAGGCAATATGAAGGAAAATCAGCACAGGTTATTTTTCTTTTCTATTTCCAACTCTTTCACTCACTAAGCCTTAAGATTTAAATACAGCTTAAACAATTCAGATATCTATTCTCATTGAATACCAATTGGGAACAGAGCACCATCTCTCATTCTCTTCATGCTTAGATGTCTTCAACACACATTTAATTATTACCTATACAAGCAGTTTATCGCATATTATTATCACTCACCGAAAGTCTGTTATTAGAGGATTAACAACTCAGTAACAGATATCGTTCACTATCTAAACACAGCAGTCACTTTTGTCAAATGTTAACTTTGGTTTTAATTTCACAGGTATTTTTTCCCCAAAAATTAACATGCATGAACTCCAAGGATTTCCTCACACTTCTGAAGCACTGTGTGAACCTGGTGCAGTAATAACCTACTGCCTATACATCAATATGACCATCTGCACTGAACAAAACAGGAAACATACCACACATCGGATAAGTAATGACACTCTGGAGAAACTCACAGCACTTCGCACTGACCAAAGTGTTTTAAATAAATTCTGGAAGCATCAAAATATTGAAACTTGTCATGACATGACAATATCTGCTATGAACAACTCAATTTCAGCATGACATGTGCCATCTAACAAAAGTCATGGCACTGGCTTTAAATTGCATAGCTGATCATATGTAACCAAGAACACACATGATTGAACTGCTTTATGCAACAGTTAAAAAAGATTTATGAACACAGAGATTGCATAAAGTTTGCAGAGAAGTATCTGGAAACTTTAATACCTGTATTTGTCTCTTGGGAAGTTTTTTAAGTAGAGAAGGTGATAGAAGACCTGGAGTCCATCAGTATAATATACTACAAACAGCAGAGGAAAGAGCTACTCTAAGCCACAGATGTAGGAGTACCACCAGCACCATCAAGCACTTGGGTCTCTCTCTTCCAAAGTGATGGTAAACCACTTAGCATGAGCAACAAATGAATCACATGGAAAATAACATACTTACAGAAACACTTTCCATTGATGTTTAACCCAGGGGAGATGGGGGAATGACACCCACTAGAAACTGAGGCAGGAAGAGACATTGTGACATTAAGACATTCATAAGCTATTTGCAATACAGCCTCTTCTTAAAATTTATGTCCTTCAGTGAATGAGGGTCAGTATCCTCACACCTTGAGGGTTTTTTGGTCAGCACAACAGAATTTTATACACAAAGCTGCCTTAGAGCCCAAATATGCTGAGGAGTGTTTAGACCTCCCAAACTTCCACTTTAGCTCATTGGCAGCATTTCCAAATAATATTCAAGCTGCTCAGCAGAGCATTCTAAAATTAAATAAATGAGACTATTAGATCTATTTTCAGGAGAGGAAGGTGAAGCAAATTAAAAACAGCTCTTAATTAGCAGAGAGCTACTACAGCCTTTTTAATGTGTAAGAATCTTGAGAAAGCACACACAGAGCCTAGATTGAAATATACACCACGTATTTATTGGCTTCAGCTTTCTATGAACACAGTAATAGAGAAGACAGTGCCATAAGGCTCAATGTAAGAAAGCAAAACTAATGACAAAAGTTTTTATGCAGACTGATCAAACTCAGCTGGGGAATAAGCTGTATTCCACACCATCCCTTGAATCTTTAAAACAGTTGTCAGTTAGCTTTTGACTACACATCTGCAAGTTACACACTTAGAAAGAAAAAAAAAGCAAACCTTCACATCCTAAATCAGAAGCCTAATGCAGAGATAAAGAAATTCTGAAAAAGGTATGATTCTGATTGGTCAGATTCTAATCTGCTAGACTACTTTAAATCCAGAATAACTGCAGAAATCAGAGTTCATTTAAATTTAAAGTAGGTCAGAAAGTGGCAGCAGGGTCCCCTGTGAACAGTAATACCACCATTTGCATCTTATCAGAAACACGATATCAGCTGTTAAATTTGCTTCTTCTGTGGGAGGCCACAAAAAGCCTGAAATCACCTCCCAGCTACTTTAATAACAACCATCATAGACAGCTTCCTCTTACATACCCCTCTAATTTCCAGCCACCTGTCAGAAAGAATTTCTCATAACTTTAAATTGAAAATATGAAAGCCTAAAAACAAAATTAATAGTTGTATATGACTCAAAAAATCAGTACCCTGAGAGAGGCCCCATCTACCCACACTCTATCTGCTTTTTACCCACTACCTAATACTGCTTCCTATATAAGAGTCCAGTGTCTGCATGAGACTGGTTCTCTCAGTGCAAAGAGATTTCCAGACTGAGATGGATTTCAATGGCATGAATTTTCATGAGAAATGACATAATATTGGATATTTTTGGTTTGCTTCCAAAACACAAGCCACCATTCTTATGGTTTAAAAAAGCAAATAAAGTACATATCTACACACATGCCACACACAGCCTCTCCCCCAAAATCTCAGTTACACATCCACATCAGCTTTGTATCTATGACAATTCACATTCCCATAATAATGAAGGATCATCTGAGTACCAGCTGCAGTGTCTGTGTGCCTACCCACTGACAGTAAAGATTACAAGTGACAAATGAGCTTATATACCATCCATATTTCTTTCCTCTCTCTGTGCAGATAGCTGGAACATCTCTGTGCTAAAAGCTTGTTTCAGATAAGATAGTTGTTTGGTTCAGAACAAGGAGAAAATAATCAGTGTTCAGCAATGTATTTTCTGAAACACAGACCCGTGCGTGTACACACACAGAGCTCAGAACTCTCAAAGCTCTCTTCAAATAGAGATGGGTTGCTAAATCCCACCTCAGAGGAGCAGATCTGAGCTCATTTCAGGCTGAGCCTGAGCTGGCATTGTGACATCAGATAACATGTAGTCAGGCTTTTGTGCCGCAGTCTCCCTACAATTTTTTTAAAAAAAATCTTTAATTTATTTACCATTTTTGGTCACTTATTTCTTTACTTCTCTGTGGATTGCTTCTTGATTCTCAGATACAGAACTCTCCATGCCAACTGAGTAGTTACTGTAAGCCTAGTTATACAGAAATAGGGAATTAAAAACAGTATTTGAGGAATATCTCGTGTCTCAGACTTCAAAAAGGCTCTGAAACGAATGCATGCCATATTAATACAGGCAACAAATGAAGGAACTACCACAGGACATCCTTTCAAATTAAGTCAAAAAGAACAACTGCATCTCTTTCTGCACAGAGGTTGTAGCATACCTGTAGAGCCAGGTACTCATTTCTAACTCTGGTAAATCAGGATGATACAAGCATGTTTCTGAAAGAATGTGAACTCCACAATCAATTTCACAGATTCTAGAGGTAGCAGGATCTATTAAATCATTTCTTCAGACTTCCTGAACAAGCTACATCATATAGTTTTATCTTGATATATCTGATCAACCAAACACAAATCATTTGACTTTCTTAAAAAACATTATTGCAGTATCTATCTCCATTTAGACCTGCTCAATTTCAATGGACAGTTGTAATGTTCTAGGAAAGGTCAAAATTTGGTGCCAAGATTTCAAATTCAGTTTTAGTTTGAAAAGTTTTTTTCCCTTGTTTAATTGAGGTTGTTGTCTACGGGAGAGGACAGTGATAAAAAACTTGAGCAGCTTCTATTTCAAGTTTAAATTTGCCGTAAGATTTATAACTATAGTAGGCAGAAAGGAAATTGGAAAATAAGTGCTTCACCATCAGATAGACACCATCACTGGCAGATAAACTGAAGTCAAGGCATCCTGGATCCAAACCTGTACTTTGAATAATACACAGTAATAATCTGATTAATATTAGTTATGTCTCTGGAAAAAAAGCTTGTTTAGGAAAATAATATTACAAATTCAGCTTTGCAGAAATAAATCAGTATCAGTGAAGTTGATGTACAGCTTCCAAACCACTCAGATCACAAAGCTGATCCCCTCAGAAGCTGTTCTGTTTTTCACTGCCTACCTCCCACCCTCTGCATTTTTAAATTACTAAAAAACTCCTGATATAATGCTAAATTTTCACTCAAGCTTCTGTCAGCATGAAAACACAAGACTTGGTCACCAACCATTCTTGCAACAGTTCCACCCACAAAGAAAATTAAAACATGCTGAAAACTGAAGTTCACTTCAAGACAGCAGACCTTCAGTGCCAAATACTGCCTTAAAAACACCAACTGCCATCTGCAAATCCACCATGCATCTCCAGACACCAAATCAGCACACAGAAATGAGACAGAAGCCAAAGTGCTCCTATAAAATAAAACTAGTTTGCTCAGAAATAGGCCTCATGCAAGACGAACAGAATGCTGGGAATGGAGGGGATTTTCTCTCTGCACCACAAATATCACCAGAGGGAGAAACTGAATGACAATCTTAGGTATGCAAATGTTTTTGCACTTACATATCAGCAGAACGTCTGCTGAATGTAGTATTAATGAAGAAACAAAATAAAAAGCACTTCCAAACCCAAGCTAAGTTTCCCATAGGACAGTTGAGTTTTCCCACTTTGTGGACTGTGTTTACTTTACACTAGAAAAGAAGTGTCAACAAACATTTAGGAAGGGGAATCATTTTTCATAGAATCATAAAATTGTTTGGATTGTAAGAGTCTTCTATAGATCATCTAGTCCAACACCTCCTGCCATGGGCAGGGACTCCTTCACTAAATCAGACTACTCAAAGCCATACTTAATGAATGTAGTTTGCTACAAAAGCAAAGGAGACTCAGAAAGTTCATTCCATAACCCTTTACTGATGACTTACCAGTAAAGACAGCTCAGTCTGACCTCAACAGCCTATACTATGAAAGATACTACAGTTGGATTTCACAGTAGTAGCAGAATTAATCCTTCCTTGCTGGTTATTCTCTTCAGAAAAAGCAAATGAAACACATCAGAAAAGCATTAGATTTGGTTCCTGCAAACAGAACCCAAACCAGAGCCCTGGTCTCCCACTGGTGGTGGGAAGCTATTTATATGCACAAAATCTACAAACTCTTCTCTCACTTCAGAACAAAACTTGTGTTATAGAATGTGTCCAGATTCACGGTCTCACAGGGGATGTCAGGAGTGCTGCAGGTACCTCAGTTGGTCAGAGCACATTGCTAACAATGCCAAGGTCATGGGTTAGATCCCCATATGGGCCATTCACTTAAGAGTTGGACTTGATGATCCTTGTGATCTTTTATAACTCAGAATATTCTGTGATTAAATCCACAAGCACCCCTTGAACAAGTAGAAGTCTCAGTCCCTCCAGGGAAAATTTTGACAGAGTGGAAAACCTAAGCCACTGATCTTAGAAGCTGGCCATCAGTAACACAGATGCTCATGGCCTTTATCAGAAACTCTGAACAAGTGAACTGTGAACTCCAGTTGTAACATCATACACTGTCTGATCTGGGAAGGAGCTGGACCAAAGAGACTCCATAAGGTCTGTGCTGTCCTGTTGCTTCTAACACCAGACTCAGTTCAGGGCAGTTTGCTCATGCACCCCAGCACCTCATCTGTTTAGGTGAGGTGTAAATTTAGGCCCATTCATAAATCCTGGAGAGAAGACCTGATGGGTTTTTTTGTCTGATGAGGACAACGCTGTCAGTTCGCCTCCAAAGGAGCTCAGTTACTTGTTGCAAAATTGGAGGAAAAAATGGGGAGAGGAGAACAAAAAAGCGCACTGACCTCGTGCATCGAAGAATTCATCATCGGAGCTCTCCACGGAGTCCCTGAGGACACTCTGCATGTGCCACTGGGTGCCACCAAACCGGCACGGGCCAGCTGGGAATACAGAGAGACTCACATTAACCCAAGAGAATGCTCACCTCTGCTCCAGAAAAAAAACCAGAACAAAAAACCAATGCATTAGTGACACAATCTGTGTACATGGCTCAAGAGGATCATTTTGGTCATCACGTATACTTTAATCTCAACAGTCACCCAACCAGAGCTTTCAGGATGGCACAAAAATACTTCTACCTATGAAAGGGATTAAAACAAGTTCTTGTTAAAGATGAGTCTATTGCTTTCAGCTAATGCAGTGACCTCAAATGATAAATACTTCCCTGTTGAATTCATCTGGCCATTCCATTCCAACACTCAAATTGCATATTGTTTCTAAAACATGAAGCAGCATTTCCCCAGGACATGGTAGTATCTCCATTCAAATTCAATTTCACTCCTAAAAGAAGTGTCATCCTATTTAGCTCACAGATTTGCAGACAAACTACTCAATTCTCACTCACTGAGCTGTTTTCATCAGAGAGGTTTGCTGTGCTGGAGTCTGGGGCTTTCATTTGAAGCTTCCATTTGACAGTAGACAGGAAGGCAAAACTGTATTAGAATTAGTACAGTAACAGATATAGTGATGACAGTGTAGATGGTCCTAACAGATTATCATACTCAAGCTAATTTGTAGTTAGTAAACCAGACTTGCCTAACTATATGAGTTCTCTTTACATCTCCAGTAAGCCAACACTAGAAAGTAGTAGTGAAATATATTCCTTCTATTAACAACAAAGTCTCCCCACAATCAGTGGAGAACCAGGCATCAAATCCACCATACTCCTAACAACACTGCTGTAGAAAGGACACTCATTACCCACCAAAATAGTGTCCTTGGTTCTATTCATTTCTGCAAATGACGACATCAGACCTGAATCTAATATCCAGAGCCCCTGGCCACAAAAGCATTCTTCTTCTCTCAGTAGGAAAATAGCAACTCAAGCAGAGGATGCATCTTCTATACTATTCTGTGGAACACATGCCACTAGGTCCACAGCCTTTTGTTCTTCATTTATTCTACCTATAGCTGAATTAATAAGAAATATAAGTGAAGAGTGGTAAGAAGCAGCAGATTTTAGCTGCCCAAGAAGAGAGTAAAAATAAAAATCAGTTAATAGCATCTAAATAGGGTAAAAAAAATTTGGTTATTAAGGAGTCAGTATTCATTACAAGAGTACGGTGTGTGTTGGGAATGTGTCCAGTGGTATCTGGCAGCTACTGGAGAACCATATCGACCACTGCATTTACTGTTACAGATTTCTGGAAACTTTTACTAATGACAGGAAACAGTAAACTGAATTATTCCTTACCAAACAACACCTTGCTGTCCCTCCATTCAGATACATATCTATCCTAAAATGTATCACTGCAGTCTTCAAAACAGTGGTAGAAAGAACACTAATCTGAACTTCTAATGACGACAAGTCTGCATTGGGTCAATGCTTGGAAGAGCAGGTATTCCAAAACTGCAAAAGCACGAGATGGGAGGGAAGGAAGGGTAGGGGGAGGGAAGGAAGGAAGGAAATATAAAGATGTAAAGACTTCAAAAGTACTCCAAAGCAAACAGCAATTCCCTGGGGAAAACTGCCACTGGCCTGGCCGGAAATCAGTAAAAGTACTGTCCCCCCAAGGCAAACTCATGGTTCCAGGGACCTTGGAGTTTGATGCACAGTGTGAAGGGAGGACAGGGAAAAGTGTCACAAATATCCAGGCATAAATTCTGGCTATGAGAAAAGACCTTGGAAGCATCATTTATTATTATTTGCACTGGGAATGCTTCTAGATTTAGAAGCAGCATAAGCATATCCACAGTCAGCAGCACAAATCTGCATGATCTCACTGCAGCAGCTCTCCACATCTACATAGATTTGCTGGCTGGACTGCATTGCACTGCCCTAATACATTGGTACTGTAGAGTCTGCTTCCCTCTGTGCCAGTAGATTAGCATTAGCCACCTTCAGAAGACTCTATTAACATTTCTTGATTGCATTAGACACTGACACTGCCCGGACTCACTGATTTGATTTACAGTGTCAACTGCTGCATATTTTATTTTATTATTTTTCTTCAGAGAATGAAAAGACCTGCCCTACTTCAGAACGCAGGCGAACTCCTTGGTAAGGACACTTGATGCTTCTGTGGTAGTGAACTTACTCTGTATCAGATCAATCAGTTGATTCTTAGCAGCCAGATACCAGCAATTTTTGCACCCAGGGTAGCAACTTTCATTTAATTTTTAGTTGTTCAGTATCACAATTTCTGATGATAGAAGGGGACCGCATGAAGAAATACTTTTAACCGAAACCACTAATGACAGAGTCACAACAGTAGAAGCACATACAGCAGTTCTCCACAGGCTGTTGGGGCAGCACAGTAGAAGGACAGTAGGATACAAGGGGAACATTTCCAAGAGGCAGAAGGAGAGCCCACAGAAATGCACAGGTGCTTCCTTTCCAAAAGAAGCAGAAGTGAAGCTTCCTACCTAAACTGCTCTCTCTGCACAGAACTGCAGGTTGTGACAGTCACCTGTCAAAGAGGGAGCTGGCAGGGGCTGGCCCTGAGCACACAGCCACAGAAACAACTGTGGAGAGGACAGGAGCAGAGCATCCTGCAGCACCAGGCACAGAAGCTGCATGCTCTAGTTAGGCTAGCACTAACTGTAATTAATTGTAATTATGATTACAATCAGTGATTTTCTTCTGTTTAAAAAGTCTTGCTTTTTCTTCTTCAACAAAGAACAGTTGGAATTTCACTGGTACTTTGCTGCATCAGTGATCTGGTGACATGAGGTGAGCTGCTATGATGCATGAGTAAAATGCAATGGTGGAAAGCACTCTCTTGTTTTTCCCTGCACTAATTTTTCTCACATTTTATTTTTTTCTGTGGTTGATGCTATCACATCTACCCAAAAACAACTCTTGCAGGAACTACAGAAAACAATAATCCTACATGTATACTATGCCATAGTATATCCATCATGGATATATACCCCAACCTCACAGTAACTGCCATTAATTAGCAATTTATACAGAGCCACTTCTGAATGTTGTTGAAAAACAATCAGTTAAAGTAAGGTTTTTAGATTTACAATATGTTCGTTAGCCAATTTACCCATGTTAGATATTGATTTCCTTACCCCTAAGATGTGTAAGGATCACAACTGAAACCTTTATCCTGTACAAAATAGCTTCCAGGAGGGTGAGAGCCACAGATACGATCAGCTGCATCCTCTTGTGATAAGCAGCAAAATAGTAACTTGACTAAAAAAGTTCCGTGTTCTATTACGTGACACTCGCACTTCCAGCTGAAGGCAAGTCAGGATGCACCTCTGCGGACGTCATCCTAATTCAGATGCAAGGCAAATTTTATCCCTGGTGTTTAGTGACTATACATAGTTCCAGCAAACAGCAGAAGAAACAGTTCCCACTCACATATCCGCAGTTTCTAATGCTGCCCATCCAGAGAAGGAACAACCCACTATGATGGTGCAATCTCTGATATGTTCCACAAATAGACCTAAGGAGCAGAACAGCCATGAAAAATGCCAATTCCACTTTCACCCACAAACATCAGCAGAGATCATTTATCATAGTTCCATAACAAATCAACGGCAATTGAAAAGTATATATAAGAGAAGAATTGTCTCTAGTTTCTCCTGGTTTCTCCAGGTTTCTCCTGGAGGCATAAACCCAGACTCTTTCCAAAGGCCCCTCTTTTTTTTGACATATTGGCAGTGATATGACAATTAAGCAGTGCATGAGCACACTTCATTCCATGTGATTATGAGGGGGATTCTAAAAGAGAAAAAAAAAAAAAAAGAAAAGAGAAACACAAGAGGAATTAAAGTGACTCTACTGGTCTGTAGCCAACATTCTTAGGACTAAGGAAATAGAAGAAAAACAGGTAAAAAGTGAAGTAAGGCCTAAGAGACTCTGAAAAGCCCTCAAAAAAACAAAGGTCTTCCTCTGGCAACTGAATAGCTAACACTGGTGATTCCCAACTCTAATTTAATCATTTTCCTATGTCCTTTTAAAAGGCCTACTGTCCAAAACACACTCATCCTGTAAGTCCTAAGCATCCTAAGAGAGAACAGGTCATCACTGCCACTCAATAATTCTGGTTCTGCCTTCTCCTCATCTTGAAATATCTTTTAAAAACACTGACTGCAGCTGAAAAAGAAAACCACATCTCAAATCATCACCGTAGATTTACAGTAGAACTTCACCAGTAGGACCAGCACAAACACTGTGAAATGGAAATGAATGAAAGAGCAATGACTTCATTCCTGTAGTGTATTTGTGAAGGCAGAGTAGCAGCATGGTAAGTTCAGTCCAGAAGCATCAATGTAAGAGTCACTCCAGCATGTCCCTCTTCTCCTTACCGATGCATGTATCAGTGGTTACTTCGTCAGGCAAACAGAACAAGCAGAAAGCAAGCAGGCTGATCCAAATGCCATCATACCAGCCTCTGGTGCACTGGTTGCATCACCAGTGTGACAGGCTGGTCCCAAAGACCAGCCCGTTCAGGTGTCCTCACATTGGATCTGCCAGAAAGGTTCAATTCAAGCAGCTTGGGATAAGAGCAGGAGTTTTCATTGGATGCGATTACAGCAGGGGGCTTTACTGGAAAACTAATTCAATACAATTCACTTCACTGTCACATTATCACACATTTCAAGCTTTGCAGTAGGCCCAGCCTTTTCCTGCATCTTTTGCTTGGTAATAAACATTTGCCAATCAAGCCTAAATATAAGCACATGCCAGACACAGGCAATCATAAAAAAAGTACTCCTGAATACTATCAACACACCAACCTAGTTAGAGATGAAACAGCACATAATGTTCTCACACCTCCTGGAAACTCAGTCTTTTGCCCAGTTAAGTACTGAGGATTGAATTAATCTCAACAAAATATAATAAAAAAGCAGATTCTGTTGCACAGATTAAAACATTTCCAATGGTCAAAACTTGTTCTAGAAGTGTGACCATTTTGAATTCAGGGACAGTTTTCCTAATAAAATTAAAAAACACAAGTCATTTTTCCACTTGGAAAAAGATGCTAGGTAGAAGAAATGACCTTCGCTGTTGCCAGTGACTGCTATTGTATAATAATGCTTCTTTCCGTTCTGATGGTTTCAGATGCTTCCTGCCTACCCATCAAGTGATTTAACTGAGCTACCCACACAGTGTTACCTAGTGACTACACAGTTAAGACTTACTGGAGGCCAAAATCACCCACTGTATATTCTAGTTACATGCTTTATTTGTTCTTGGGCAAACGTGAAACTGAAGATGTATGTTACAGGAGTGAATTTAACTACTGGAGGAACTCCTCAGATTCAGGAGCTCAGGCAAGACAGAGATGCAGATCCTTCCTTCAATAAGAGTGAAAACTAACGTATGCTCAGAGAAAGCCCTCGTCTGCACACAGAGCATCAAAAAAGAGACCATACATTGACATCATCGATAGCAGGGCCATACAGAACTCATCCAAACTCATACAATGAATCTGCAGCAGAAACTGGAACTTAAGTGAAGTCAGCTGATGTTGAAATGAAACACACTGCAAGCAGAAAGGGCTGAGGGGAGGGTGCAGAGTGGGAGGCCTACATATCTGTGAATCTAAAGGTGGAGAGTGAGAAAAATAACAATGGGAGGCAAGGGGGAGGTCAGAGAGAGAGCACATACAAGGCTAAGGGGGACAGGGAAGAGAAAAGGAGAAGTTAAATCAAGATATCAAGTTCTCTTGTGAGAGAGCGCAGCTGACAAAGCCAGAGACATAGTTACAGACAGAAAAAAGTCCACACAAATTGCGGGTTCCCTTGTCAATAAATGAAAGAGCTAACTGATGGAACAGTCTGGAAACCACTGTGGTCAAAAGTGCCCAACACAACCAACTCCTCTCTCCCATTCCTCATTCAATGTCTTTCATCTCGTAGCAATTCCACAGTGACAAGTCCTGGGTTACCTACTTTGTACATCATTACACTAGCAATTCTGCAGCAGATGGTAAGGACAGGCATGTATTTGCCTATTAAGTAAAGAAAACAAATCAAGCAATTAAGCCACGCAGGCCTTTAAGCCCCTATTTTAAGGTACCAGTGGAATTTCCAGTCTTGTACTCTCTGGGATTACTAATGAGGTGGAGGGAGAGAGAGAAGAGGTTTAACATGGCTGTTCAGGCTCAGAATCCTAGACAGAGCTTTCCTGTAAATGTGGTACATCTCACAGAGCTGTTTCTTGATGTTTCAGACGCCAGCTCCCCCTCAGCAGAAATTAACTTCACTCTTCCTCTCAGCAGTATCATCACCTCCTCCAAACTGACTCCCCAAAACCAGAGAAGATATGAATATTCTCTAACCTTTTCCTGCAATGGGAAAATGTAGGTGGACTGCCTGCATCACATCTGAAAGACTCTACTTTCATAGTGCAGAGATTCTGGCTTTCTGAGGAGGATGTAGCATTTTTAAGTCACTGTGGTCTGTTAAAATTGAAGTAGGAGATAAAGAGCAGATACCCCCCAACGCCCAACTCCCATAGGGACATTGTCAGGTCACTACCATCAGGACTATCGTCTGCAGTTGCCTCTGTGTGGTTTTAAAACCTACAACCTTGCAAATGTCCAAGCACTTCTGCACAGGGACTACTCCAAGTGCTTAAGATCTGGAGTTCACCAGGAGAGATCTGACTACTCAAATGAGTCAAGTGTGGACCACATCTAAAAGCCCTTTACAAGCACACCTGTCATTCAACAGTGATCAAACAACAGATTTTCACCAGACTTGTGATCGTTCTTTCCATTTGAGATAAGGCTACAGCATGGGAAGGGGCTGCAAGGCAGGGTTCATATAAGCAAAACAGACACAACATTTCTATCTTTGTGCATATTCCAGCTCACATTGATAAACTCAGTAGACTCAATTTATAAAAGCAGCACATTTCCCCTACTCCTAACGCAGATATGTTCTGCCAGACCTCCTTTGGGAATGGTCTAGTTTGGTTTTTTTTTTTACAATAAGTAGTTACAACGTTACAAAGCTGGCATCAAAAGACATATTTTGTCTACTGAAGTCAGTGGAACCACATCCAAGACAAGTACCATCCTTTAAAATTCCTGTGTAAAGTTGGGCTTGAACACACAAGCTACATATGCAGGCTGCATTACTCATGTCTCACAGAAAGCCAAACCAATGCCCCTTATTTTCCTATCATACTTAAAAGGACCGGAAACTAATGCCAAAGAAAAAAACTGTGAGACTTTTCCCTCACTTTTTTACTTCTTCATCTTCCAGAGATGGAAAACAACCATTTAGTTCAATCCTATATTTGCATCTTCTGATATTATTGAAGCTCTCATGTTCCTGAATGTTATGTCTCTGGACTGACACCAATCCTAGCCTATTTTGGGGGAATAATAATAATAAAAAAAAACCAAACAAACAAAAACACAAAAACAAAACAAAAACAAAAAACAAACAAACAAACAAACAAACAACAAAAAAACCCCACAAAACAACCACAAAACACCGCTGGAAGGAACCCCTTTGGGTTTAGCTTTAATAGTGCCATGCTGCTACAAAGCTGTCCCAGAGCTGGCACCAAACACTAGGTGAGTGTCACATACTGACCAGTCATAGCAGTTAGGCCTTCATCTGCAACAGCAATGGGCTCTGTGTGCAACCTAGAAGAAACCACTTCTGCATCAGCAAGTGGACTCTCATCTATTCTGCTGGTTGTCACTGTCCATTCGTGCACGCAGAGCATATACCATCTGTGCCTGTAGGCTGCACTGGGCACGGGACATCAGGGTGCTGCTGCTGCTGAGCATCCCCAAGCCCTGTTCCCAGCTCCAGCCAACCGACCTCCGCATTGCTCAAGGTCCGGAGGAAGCGCGAGTTACAGCACGTGAATGGGCAAAGCTCAGCCTTTGCCTTTCAGCAAGTCCCACCCAACAGCATACCTTTATTGTTCTCCGACCACGGCTGCTGCCTCCCGCTCTGCTCCTCCTTGGCAGGCGGCACCGAGCACCGGCCCCACGAGGCCGGAGCTGGGAGAGACCGTTCCTAGATCAGCTCCGGCGGAGGGCGGGACGAGGCCGGGCAGAGGCGACTGGCGTGGGCGCTCGCGATGCCCCGGCAGTGCCGCGACCACGACACCGGCCGACGCGGGCGCCCAAGGCAGAGCGGGCCGCGCTCGGAAACCACGACAAGGGACATACCCGCGCCTCGTTCACACGAGTTTGCGTTCAACGCTCCGCGGGGCGGGCGGCGGAAGACGCGGAGCCAGGGCTGCCCCGGAGCCGCGGGTACGGAGGGAGCGCAACCGAGCCTCAACCCGCACCCGCCTGCGGAGCCCCGCGCTCCTCTCGGGGCCATGCCATCCCGCCCCCGGGGCTCAACACTCACCTGGACGCGGAGCTTTCGCCATTTCAGGGCTGCCTGCTTGCAGCCAAGCCGTTTTTAGCCGCGTCAGGTGCTCGCTCGCGGGGCGCTCCGGGCGCGCCCGCACTCCGCCGCCCCATCAGCTCTGCGGAGGCCCCGCGCCGCCCCCTCGCCTGCGGCGCTGAGAGACGCGGCCGAGACACGACGCCGCCGCCGCCCGGTGCCGCCCGCCGCTAAAGGCGCAGCCGCCGTCGCTAAAGGCGCAGCGAGCGGCTCGGGGGAGAGCGGGAGCCGGACCGGGCCAGCGCGGGGATGTGGCTGCGCGTAAAGTGCGGCCGCAGGGTGGGGGCAGCGCCGGGGCCCGGGGACCTTGGGACGGGGGCTCCCCCTACCCTCAGCCCCCACGACGCGCCCGCCGGGAACGGGTCGGGGCTCCCTTGCCGTTTTAGCTCCCCTCGGAGCTGCGGGTGGGCAGAGGACGGAGGAGCTGGACCGGCTACCCGGTGCTGTTTCCGCACCGTGCCCGACTCCCGTCCCAAGCTGCGCCACGGTGCCAGTGCCGCACAGCTCGGCCACTGCTGCGGCACTGCCCCTGCAAGCTGCTCCTTCGAGTGGTTGCTCTGGAATTTAATAGCAAATATCCTTCAGTTGTTGCCAAGCCCCATGTCAGTGCAGTGGTTGAACTGCTGCAAGGCGCTGCCTTTTAAGTCAGTCATAGGCAAGCGGCTTACAGCCTGCTGAGAGCTGGACTAGGGAACTTAAAGAGGGCGAGACTCGATTCCTCCCTCTTCGAGAGCCCCAGAAGCGGCATATCTCTAAAAGTAAAGAAGCCAGCTTCTCCAGATCCCCCAAGGATTGGAAGAAATTCACCTTAAGAAACGTCTTAAGTTGCAGCCCGTTTTGTGGGAACAATGGGAAAAGGCTGGCAGAGAGCCTAGGAAGGCTTGTATCTTACTAGCGTGTCAGAGTACCACCTAGTACAGTGCAGTGAACAAAAGTTTGGCCCAAAGAAGCCCACAATTAAAGAGCCAAGCAAACATAATGCAACCAAGTCCTAAAGCAACTTACAGGCTCAGTGCCAATACCAACTTGGTAGCTATAGAGATAAATACATGATTCACTCGGGTTGTTGCTAAGCATTCATTTAAGGAGCCAGAGCAGATACCCTTGAGAACACCGCGAGTTAAGTGGTTTTGTTTGAGCCTTAAGTGGAATAGCCACAATGCCCAACAATTCCTACCCCCAAGCCACCATACAAACTATGGCTTATCTTTCCCCAGCTCTGGGTGACAGTGCTACTGCTGGACAGTTGCCCGTTAAGCCACATTGCCTCTGCTGTTGGACTTGAAGTCCTGTCTAGAAGATTTGATAAGGATAGTTTTCCCAAACGTGCAATGGTGTCACTAAGCCACCAAAGAAAGCAATTCTAGAGAAAGACCATGGGTAAATAGAATCATAAAATGTGCTGAGTTGGAAGAGACTCATCAGGATCATCAAGTCCAACTCCTGGCCCCTGCACAGGACACCCTAATAATCCCACCATCTGCCTGACAGCAGTGTCCAAACACTCCTTGAACTCACAGGCTTGGTGCTGTGAACACTGCCCTGGGAAGCCTGTTCCAGTGCTTGACCAGCCTCTGGGGGAAGAACGTTTCCCTGATAACTGATCTAAATCTTCCCTGACTCAGCTTCATGTCATTTCCTTGACTGGTGGCAGTACCGGCTAGGGAAGAATGTCTGAAAGGCAGAGATGTGTTTGGATAAGTGCAGTAAGTTCCGTGCTCTGTGCTGTTTCCAACTGCACCAGCTCAGTACAAGCAGCTTCTGTCTTGTACAGATGTGACCTGCCCACCATGCTCAGAGATTCTTCATTAAACCCTTTTCAATTTACATCACAAAGAGCAAGGACCGAACACTACAAGATACATCCCAACTACTGTATTGAGATAATGTTCAGCCTAAATGGCTCTTCTGCACTGGACTAGAGGCAGTGACTGAAAAAAAAGTCTTTCCGCTGGCACAGCTGCCTGAGCAGGCAGTTACCTGCAGCCTCTGAAGGCAGTAAGCACCACAAGGCCTCCCTCCAGAGGAAAAGGCTAATTTCCATTGTCCTGAATAGTGAAAGCAGACAACTGCCAGTCCTTGACAACATATAGATCCAGAAATCTTTTCTTTCTCCTAAAGACTTGTAGAAGATTCACAGATTCCAACAAAATTGTGTCCTTTCAGTACACAAATGCACACCTTTTTTTCATGCATTACAGAGGACATATAGAATTTCTTCAAAAGTCATAGCCAAATAATAATGTAAGAAAAATATACTAAGCCAGATAATGGCCTGATCTGGAATGCATTTAAAGATATTTATACGTCCAAAAACCTATTGAGAAAATAATCTAATTCCACACACATTTTACTCTTAATTGAAAACACATGCTGTATTACTGGTGACTCAAGTTCTCTTCCTTACAATGGAGCAGAAAAACTCCTCTCAAGACAAAGCCTCTGTTAAAGCATGTTCCCCATCATTACTAGCTTTTCTGGTGTTGCAAGATGTCCAGTTATAGAAATCAAACCTTGTACAAAACATTCTGAAAAAGATCAACAAAACAGGTAGCCAATGCCTTGAGGCAGTGTAGAGCCACCCAAGGATGGGAGCTCAGAGAAAAATTATACCAACTGACACTACTGCCCCCTTGAAAACATCTGCTCACCTAATGATCCAAACCTGCTCAAACTGAGCAGGGAGAGTTGCTCTAACTGCACACATCAGGGCCTAAGCACCAAAGCTGAAGGCTGCTTGTTTGGTTAATATTCCAGGACCGAATTCAAGGCTGGCTTCTGTAGTGTTATGCCTGCTGACACCAGGTTCAACCTGATTTAAGCAGCCTTCAGAGTGAAAACAGGATATTGCTGAGTAAGAAAAATGGAAGATCTGTCCTCTAGAGCCAATATTGTTTGTCTAAAGTCAGAAGATAATTGCTTATTTCAAGAAAGGGTGATGCGAGTGCGGTTTCATCAGCAGATATGGGGCTCAAGGAAAGCAGTTGATGAGGGCTCAGTGACAGGCAGAACCTTTTATGTCCAGAACTTGAAAGGCAGCCTTAAGGAGCAGACACCACATTGAGTCAGAGAAAACAGCAGGCAATGGAGCAGCTCCCAGCCAAGTGTTGCACGTCAGCCACCCACTAGAAATGGGTTGCACTACGCTGTTTTACTTGGACAGACTGAGAAATTCTCTGGCAGTAGATACACCTGCTTTGTGGCTGCTCATGCCAGTGAAACAGCGAAAGAAGCTATCCAGGATCCAAAATAAGCCTTGAGATGGCAACTCTTGGTAACATAAATTCAAATAGTTCGAAAGGCCTTTCTGCACTGTTTATACATCACTCAACTGCCAAAATAAAAAAGAAATAGGATATGTCACAGCTCAGCATTTCAGGAAAGCGCAACATTCTGCAAAAAATGGAAGGGAACAAAATCATAATCCACAGAGGCATAAGAGAGGACAGCAGTGGATCAGCAACTGGTCCTAACAAAGACTTCCTGATATTCCCAGGTAACAGGGAATTGTCTGGCAGGCAGGTACATTTCTTGGTGAGGAGGCTGTGATGTTGCCAGGTTGCTGTTATCTCTAGTTAATCCCAGGTACAAGAAAGACTGCACTGACTGATACCAGGAATACTCAGCTTTGTAGCTGAAGCTGGATTCATGGCTCTAAAAAGCCCACAACAGACACAAGGCAACCATACAAATGCTTGGGCAAGGCAATGAAAATTTTCCTTAACAGTATCCCAGGTCTGTAGAGAAGCAAAGTCTAACTGATGGCCCAGACAGCTGTCAATAGCTGCAGGAACAAGAGCTGAGAGAGGCTTAGTCCTCAACTGCTCAGTCCCCTCATCTGTCGCTTCATTGTCTCCAAACTCAAAGATGCTCCTTCCTCCTGCCTCAAGTTTTGTTAACAGCCAGAGGCTCTCCACTGAAAGGTCTGGCAGAGCAGAAGCAGAATACAACTGATCAGTAACGTCAGGGCTGAGGCCTTCTGAAATTGCAGGCAAGGGGCAATGGTACTTGCGGGTTTAATTCCAGTGCTCTCCAGTGTTGGTAGCTACATGAGGAGGAAGGCATAAGGTATAAAAACAGACAGAAAGGGAGTTCATAAGAATTAAAATCACAGGATTTCAGAAGGATTTCATAAGTAATTAAATTGTACCTAGTATTTGTTACCACGCTGCAGAACCACCAATTAAGACTATTTTCTCTGCTCTGTTTGCAATTCTTTAATAAAAGAAATAGATTTGCTGAGCACAAGGCAGAGAGCTTCCAGATTCAGATGGGAGACAGCAATACAGCTCACAAAAACTTCTTGGTACAAATGAGAGTGCATTAAAGGTGTGCTGTAGACCCTACAGGAAAGTTCCCACATTCAAATATGCCCATATAACCATACCTTTGCATACCTTGTTGTGCTGCAGAAAGGTTACTCACTGTCCACTCCAAATACCATCCTAAGGACAGGGATCTTAACAATTTTTAGAAGACAAGTTGCAGAGTTAAAAAAGAAACAAAACAAAACAAACAAACAAAAAAACCCCAAACAACAACAACAACAACAAACCACCAAAAAACCAAACAAGTGTTCAGAAATTCTTGAATCAAAATTTCAAGGAATAGTATGAAAGTGTGGCAGCTCTAGATTTTTAGATTTTTATGCTGTTACTTTAGATCCGTTTTGGGAATTTTTTTGTCACATCTTGACATGGAGGAGAGGAAGCTGGAAAACCAGGGCAATGTCTTAATTTTCAAACTGTCAGAATACAGATCATGTTTGTCAAGCTTTCTACTTTCAAAAATCAGGACAGGACAGTGATGGAACACCACACTGAGAGGGAAAGGAGGAAGAAGCAAGGAAACCTAAAGACACAATTTTTATCTAGATTGCTGCAGACACACAGAAGAAGACTAAGTTAATCAGCATCTACCAAAACCAAAAGCCCAAAACTGCCATGCCTACATACTGATTTGCTTATACTAATATTTTTCTGATTAAATATCTCATTCTTTCAGTAAGGAATAGCTTAGATCTTGTCCTCTCTTGCTACCCCTCCCCTCCCTGAATTTAACCCACTGTTAAAGAAGTAACCCAAACTCTTCAATCTCTAATATTACTGATATTTTGCTCTCCTTTATTGAGTCCATTCTGATTATTTCATTAAGAAGAGAGGAAAACGGTAATAAAATTGTGGGGTCTCTCCATTTCAGGGGATAAGGATAG